GAGCTAGTTACATACCATAATAAATGAATAAACAGGTAGGCTAAGGTTATATTCGGTTGTACGGAGCCCCGATCATGACATGCAGACAAAATCATGGCCACGAATTTAGAATAGGCTAGTTCTCTTTTATGCTAGGACTACATTATGGCCACGAATTAAGAATTAATTTTTTCGTTTAGTCTAAATTATGGCCACGAATTAAGTATTCATTCTCTTGTTTAGGCTTAGCTGCCACGAATTCATTCGTTCGTTAATTCGGTCATTCCCTAGTTTTAGTAGGCCTAAATCATGGAACTAATTATTATATTTCGTAATTACTTATTAAAATCATTATTGCTTAAAATTAATAAATAATAATAAATTAATTTAAAAAATAATAAAACCTGCTGACGTCGTAGAAACGAATTGTTAATTCGAATTATATTCGGAGCTCCGTAGTTATTAAATCATCTCAGTTAAACTGTAGACCTAAGCTAACACACAGCTGTATATAGGCCTAAATACAGAACTACAGAGTACAGAAGATATTAGCCTACACCACTTAGGCCTATTAAAATATTATTTTAAAAAAAAACTGACCCGAACCAATAGGTAGACCTACAGAATGTAGGCTAGATATAGGCAGCAGTAATTTATAATCTAATATAATGCACGCAAATTTGTTCTTTACAGAACTGAGCGGGAATTGGTTTACGGCGAGCGTGAGCGGAATATTAACGGAGCGCTTGCTTGGGCGGTTAGAGCGACTGAGTGGAGCGCACGTCCATAGAGCGGAAAACCGCGTCACACCGCTCCGCTTCGCTCACATGCTCTGGTGTGAACAGAGCTGTTTTTGACAAGTTAAAAAGGGTGTTGTTCTATACTACCATTGAGAAATTTTAACCAAAGTATGTTATAGACTTTTCATGAAGCCCTAAAGAATCATACCAACTTGTGGAAAATGGGCATCTGATGTCCCCAAATGTTTTTGAGCAACAAATCCGCGTATTAGAATGATTTCTGAAGGGTCATGTGACACTGAAGACTGCCAACTCATGAATAAATTCATTTTAAAATTCACTAAAATTGAAAAAGGTTATTTTGTATTTAATAATATTTCGCAGTATTACTGTTTTTACTGTATTTTTGATCAAATAAATGCAACCTTGGTGAGCATAAGATACTTTTCAGAAACATTTCTTTCTTTCTTAGAGTCTTACTGACTCCAAACGTTTAAGCAGTAGCACTTAAAGGGGTGACATGTTACTGTTTATTACATGTTACTGTTTACCCCCACTGTTTATCTACTGTTAGGTGCAGGTTCATCCTCCTCTCCAGTGCACTGTAAAGTTACTCCTGTCAATATCAGCTGTTCTGATCAGCAGTATAGAGCCACATGTCATTGTGCAGGTGATATTTTAACATTTATTCTTTTCTTTGGGCCTTCATAGTTTCAAAATTCATCTTTTTAGATCTTAGTTAATTTTGATGCAAGTTTTTTATTAATTTGTTTTTTGCAAAACAACAGGCCGTTTCCTGTTTGAGTGGGTTGACTATCCAGAAATGCCCTGATGACCTTCTTTTAGCTGCTTTGGAGTTCCTTGCTTCCATGGGAAGAATATTTATTTCTCCCAATATTCAGGTAGAAGTGGAATATGAGTAAAAAAATAAATAAAAGACAGGAAATTAGTTCTTTCATTGGTCATTTCATTGTGTGTGCATCTGTATATGTATGTGTGTGACTGCAGTGTCAAGTTTTGCCCAGAATCAGTGGTCTGTTAAATGGTCTCCTGACTCACCCATCCTGGCTGATCCTCCATCATGTCCTGGAGGCCTTTGGCCTCTTTGCAGAGGTGGGAATTTCCCTATTATATAACCAACCATGTTTTTATTAAATAACAGACATTTTCCTTAATTGTTAAATTTGTATTTGAGTAAATCAGAAGTGAATGTATAATGATAAGTTCTTGACTCAAGGGTGCATTTACTTCAGCAAGTATAGATAAATCCTGTAACGTAAAGCTAAGTGATCATTTTCTCGCTCAAGAACTTGAGTTTTTATTATTATATATTTATTTGGTAAAAAATAAATCTCAAATCACATCCCTCTTTATCACTTTTTTCAGTCAACAGTTTTGTAAGCTAGCTCAAATGTCTCTTTTGTAACTTAAGATAACCAACCATGAGGAAGTGATTTCTCAGACATTGACATCAGAGGAGATCAAAACCAAAGTGTTAAACTTTCTCAGTAAGGTATGAAATGAGAGATACATATTGACTTAAAAATGTTTTTATTTGTCTTATTTCAGTGTTCCTTATATAGATTAATGTATCACTTTCTACAGACCGTCTCACACCAGGAGTCCAAGGAAGCAAGACTAGAACGTCTGAAGGAGTGGAGGAGTATAATAGAGAAACACTGTGAGCAAATGGAGCGTGAGACCAGCTCACCTGTACACACGCCACTTACTGAGGAGGTGAGTGAGAGGATGGCTTTATTGCCTGGCATACCTATGGAACAAGTTTTTACTAATTCTGCAATTCTTTACCTGTTCAGCCATGTCCGAAGAGGGCAAGACAGGAGACGGAAGTAGAAGAGGAAAAACCAAAGTGTTAAACTTTCTCAGTAAGGTATGAAATGAGAGATACATATTGACTTAAAAATGTTTTTATTTGTCTTATTTCAGTGTTCCTTATATAGATTAATGTATCACTTTCTACAGACCGTCTCACACCAGGAGTCTGAGGAAGCAAGACTAGAACGTCTGAAGGAGTGGAGGAGTATAATAGAGAAACACTGTGAGCAAATGGAGCGTGAGACCAGCTCACCTGTACACACGCCACTTACTGAGGAGGTGAGTGAGAGGATGGCTTTATTGCCTGGCATACCTATGGAACAAGTTTTTACTAATTCTGCAATCTTTGCCTGTTCCAGCCATGTCCGAAGAGGGCAAGACAGGAGACCAAAGTAGAAGAGGAGTATGAGCGATACCTCCAGACAGCAGAAAGTGCCTTGAAAGCCCTGCAGGCAATAGTGGGGCCAGACCACAACATGTCCCCGCCTCAGTGGGTCAGGACCAGACTTGAGGTCTTACAGACACTGATAACTCAAATCAACACCACTGCAATAGAGCAGCCCTGATTCAACTACAACACCTCTTATGGCTGCTTTTAACACAATGCTGTCTTTGTTCCATGTCACTACGTTTGCTAAAGTCACCCAAGATATTTGTATAAAAGTTGTATTTTTTAAAGTTTCTATGGAAAAGAGTCACTCCAAAGACAATTAAATTTATTAAACTTCATTAAAATGTGTTTTGTTAATTTTTTTTAGTCGGTGACTTGATTGTGAGTGATTGACACTGAATACTAGTCTAAAGCTCTGCTTTTAATGGTGCATTCACACTGTGTCAGAATTGCTGTAATATTAAGATGTAAGATTTTTCGGAGACCTCCAACTTAATCTCGCAATTGTGGTAATTCCAACATGGCTGGAACACATACTAATGCCAAAATCCTATTATGCCAATTAAGTAGCAGCATTTAATTTTTTGGGGTCATGCATGGAAATGAGAAAAGTAGGGTGAGGACTTGGATCTATCCATTGGTTGTTGTTGAGATGTGAGTGTTGCTCTTAAAAATGCATGCAGAAATTGAAAATGCTTGTTATTTGTGGAGGGGTGGGCTTTAGGTGAACAAAATTATTCTGCATGATTCTGAAATTCTGCATACGTAACCAGACATTTTCACTGGAAGATCATGATGTTTTGATTAAACATAATGGGAGTCGAAATAAAACTACAACATACATAAACATGAATTGTTCACAATAAGATGTAGAAATTGCATTTACAAAAAAGATTAGGTGAATTCTCATCTCATGCCAACTAAATACATGTAATAAAAGAAGGCCAGTTTTTATTTGGTATGCAAATAAATGCAATAAAGACTAATTGCAGTTAATCCTTTAAATATTACAATGGCATCATAGCTGCCCGTTAGATTTTGAATTGTGACCATTCTAAAAGCTAATTCACACTGCACCAACAGACACCAGCAATTACCAGATTACATCAAGAGTTTGTTAGAAAATCATACCATACTGTCCAGACATTCCTGACCTGACAAACACTGATTGAATGTTCAATGGGTAAAAACAAACACCGACCAATGGCAACAGACCAACAGGCCTAACACACAGTTCTGAAATCCATCAAACATGTCTGCTGGCCTCAGTTAGTGTCTGTTGATGCCGTGTGACCTTGCCTTAAGTCAATGGGAGATTTTGTTTTTTTTTACCAAATTTCATAGTCAATATTATATCAAAATTTCACCAAAAACGAATCAAAGCAGGTCAAATACCATAAAACCATTTTATTTAGTCAGCAGCTAATAATACAAATAAATTAAGTCGGGCTCTCACCCAATCTAATGAACACAAATTAGAGTCTATACATTTCTTCTCAAGTTGAGGCTGTCTGTCCTCTAAGGCTCACTGAACAAAAAAAAAAAAAAAGCTGTATGGCACAAATAAAAACTGACATTAGAAGTGGATGTATTTCCAGGTTATGTACCCCTCCTCGGTGCAACATGACTGAAGGACTCCTAATAGGATTTGGCATGTTTAGGTCTATCATGCCATCTTGAAAAAGCTAAACAAGACCAAACCTTTTTCTGTAGCCGATCAATTTCTATGGCGACAGTAGACTGATTATCTCATTGGACTGGGTGGGGGAATCTTAAAATACACACTACTCTTTTAAATCGTAGTTACTAAACTTTTATGTTGGTCTTTAGTGATAATATCATGATGGCATATGTAACAGTGTTCTTGTACTGGAATCTCTCTCATATGGCTTTCTGTAGAGGACCACACTGATCACCAGGCGTTCTCATCTTCCCAGTTGAGGTCATCGCCCCATCCTTCTGCCTCCGTCTGTCGAGGCAAAACAAAAGAACATTCTCGTCAGTTCATCATATGTGACCCTGGACCACAAAACCAGTCATAAGGGTCAATTTTTTGAAATTGAGATTTATACATCATCTGAAAGCTGAATAAATTAGCTTTCCGTTGATGTATGGTTTGTTAGGATAGGACATTTGCCTGAGATACAACTATTTGAAAATTTGGAATCTGAGGGTGCAAAAAAATCTAAATACTGAGAAAATCGCCTTTAAAAGTTGTCCAAATTAAGGTCTTAGCAATGCATATTACTAATCAAAAAATTTGTTTTAATATATTTACAGCAGGAAATTTACAAAATATCTTCATGGAACATGATCTTTACTTAATATCCTAATGATTTTCGGCATAAAAGAAAAATCGATAATTTTGACCCATACAATGTATTATTGTTGGCTATTGCTACAAATATACCCCACCGACTTAAGACTGCTTTTGTGCTCCAGGGTCACATATAATTATAAAGCCATGAAACGGATTGGTCGCATAGGTAAACTTACCTCAGTCAAGTCAGCAGCTGCAAACTTGGTAGTGAGGCTCAGTGTATCTATTGAGGGGTCTGATGTTGTGTGTCCCGTGATGGGTTCTCTGACCGAGCTCTCCACGGGGAGCAGAAGAGATGAGGAAGACAGCTTTATATCTGGGACCATGTCTGCAAAGAAGTCTAGTTCTGGATCTGGCTCTGGCTTCTTCACTGCAATTGTGAACTCCTCCCCGAGACATCCAGCTTCAGAGCTTTTGATTGTGCTTTTTGGCTTGGGCTCTAATGCTAAACTTGTTTTGCTGGGTTTGAGGGTGTCAGTTGCTTGGTTCCAACTGGTGTCCCATGATGAGGTATGGTTATGATCTGGAGCGCTTACACTAGAGTTCAGTTTGAGTGCTTTTGAGTACCTTGAAGATCCGGTGCTAGATTCAGATGGAGATAACACCTTGCTTTTTGTTGATGTCTTTGGTACAGAGACTAGTAAAGAAGCCGAGGGCGAGTGGTCTGAGGTCACTTCTGAGTCCTCAAAATCATCCCAGGGTTCCTCGCTTTCATCCTCATTGTCAGCGGAGTTGCTCTGACCTGGGACATCTGCTGACTGAATGCTAATCTGGACTGACTGGGTCTTGTCCTTTTCTGCTTCCTCGGTGTCACTCCAGTTAGGCCAGTCTTCGTCGGATCTCACCGCTCTGTTAGTTTTCATGTTGTCTGCAGCTTGTGTGCCCGTTCTGTACCCAATCAACGGGAACGACATCTCGCTGCTAAATACTAGAGAGATCACTTGATTCAGAAGGGTTGTACATTCCAGCACCAAGTAGGGACAAGCAAATGCAATTCAAGATAACTTCAGCCTTTCTTTTCAAGTGATTGCTTCACAATAAGCAGTTCAGAAATGTTACTGTTAAGAGTGGCTTTAAAAATCAGTTGTGGCATACCTGCTCTCTCTGCTGTGGTGTGCTGGGTGCTGGTCTTTTCAGTTGCTTGGAAGGAGTTCATGTTTTCTAAAACCACCTTTTTGTCCTCTGAGTTCTTAGGGAACAGATTTAGGACCTTTGGTGGTTGTGAGACATGGGGATGGATTGGCCCAACAATATGCACGGGTGATGCTGCAGAGGAAAAGAGGTTTGGGATTGGTAAGGTTTTTTAATGGTTATTTGATCAAAAATGGAAGTAATATTGTGAAATATTATTACAATTTAAAATAACTGTTTTCTATTTTAATGTATTTGAAAATGTCATTTATTCCTGAGATGGCAAAGCTGAATTTTCAGCAGCCATTACTCCAGTCTTCAGTGTAACATGATCCTTCAGAAATCATTCTAATATGCTGATTTGATGCTCAAGAATCATTTCTAATTGTTATCGAATGCTGAAATCAATTCTGCTGCTTAATATTTTTGTGAAAACTGTGGTATATTATCCTCCTGGAGTTTTTTTTTTTTTTTGATGAATAGAAATTTCGTTCAAAATAACTGCATTTATTTTAAACAGAAATCAATGTGTGAATAAATGTCTTCACATTAGTAGATGATTAATAGACAAATAATTATTTGAGTTTAATTTGTTTGTGGTCAATGTGATTAATTTTAAATATTTGTTTTAATATATATTTGTATAGATTTACTTTCTTTCCCTAAAAGAGGAACTGAATGCACTACTAGAAAACAAATTTATATCAATTGTGACCCTGGACCACAAAACCAGTCATAAGTAGCACGGGTATATTTGTAGCAATAGCCAAAAATATATAATATGGGTCAAAATGATTGATTTTTCTTTTATGCCAAAATTCATTAGGATTTTAAGTAAAGATCATGTTCCATGACGATATTTTGTACATTTCCTACCATACATATATCAAAACTTAATTTTTGATTAGTAATATGCATTGCTAAGAACTTCATTTGGACAACTTTAAAGGCGATGTTCTCAATATTTTTTATTTTTTTGCACCCTCAGATTCCAGATTTTCAAATAGTTGTATCTCTACCAAATATTGTCTTATACTAACAAACCTGACATCATTGGAAAGCTTATTTATTCAGCTTCCATATGATGATATATAAATCTCAGTTTCAAAAAATTGTCCCTTATGTCTGATTTTGTGCTCCAGGGTCACAATTGTATAAAAAATGATGCAGCAGCATCCTCCGGTTGCCTCAAAACATAACATTTACATTGAATACAGGTTAATATACCAACTTAAGCAGCCTAAATGTTTTTTTTTTAATAAATAGAAATGATTCTTAATTAAAATTAGTGAAAGTCAATCAAGCTAACTTATTATGGTCATTAACTTATTTAGTTAAATATGTAGAGAATTAGCAAACGCCCTCTCATTATAAAAGTGCATTAACAGACAGTGTCTTACTCTCTGGGGTGACCTCTGTAGACTTGGTGAAGTTTGGCGTAGTCCGTTTAAAGACTTTGGTCCTCTCCCCACCAACAACCACCCGGGCTCCCAGCAATGGGACAAGCACAGCCAAACTCTGTAGTGTCATAGCGACGAGTGAGTCATTCGTATCTCTCATTCCCAGCAAAACCTGCAAGATAAAGTGCAGAAAAATAACTGACACAATCCCAGTATCAACTTAAAAACATCCTCACTTTACTCGAAAGAATTCAGTATCACTCAGCTGTTGATACGAACACAAACATTGTCACAGTACCTGAGGAAGAATCAGATTTTTCAGTTCTTCATGAGGAAAGAACTCAGCATAGATATTAATGTGGGAGAGAAGCACGATCCTGACATGCTCCTCGTTCACCTTATAGAGCTTAAGGAGCTGAGGAACCACGTATCTCCGATACAAAGACAAAGACAGAAGACA